CTGTCCCCTGCCCGCGCCGCAGGACGCAAATAAAGGCGGGTGCCAACGAGCGCTTAGAAACCCACTCGGGGAGAGTCCTTTAATGGGGGTGGCGGGCACGGGGGCCGGCGGGCACGGGGCCGGCGGGCACGGGGGCCAGCTCAGGCTCCCTGCTGGTTGGTCTCGTCCTCCTCGCGCCGCTTCCAGATCTGCGGGGGAGCAGAGGGAGCCGTGGGGGCGGCTGGGGACAGCGCGGGAYGAGGGGACGGGGCCGAGAGGTGGCCCCGGGGGCCCTCACCTGGATATAGGCCTCGGAGAGCGTGATCATCTGCGGCAGGATGTCGGTCACCTGCAGGTCCTGCAGCTCGTACCACTTGCCGGTGCCCTGTGAGGGGACGGGGGTGACACGGGGGGCGACGCGGGGGGCGACAGGGCGGGTGGCGCGGCGGGTGRCGCGGTGCCACTCACGTGGTGCAGCACGTGGATGCGGTAGGAGCCCTCGGAGGGCTTCCCGTCGTGCACGATGTTGGCGATGAGGTCGTACGTGGTGTGGCTGTGCGCGGCCTGCACCTCCTCCGACAGGTACTCGCGCAGGTCCACGTTGCTGCCGAGGGGACGGGCGGCCCCGGCGTCACCGCGACGGGCACGGCRGCCGGGGGCAAAGCCGGGCAGGGAGCTGCCGCCCGGGGCGGCGCTTACGTGATGGGGAAGTTGACGATGGTCGGGTTCTTCTCCACGAAGAAGTTGTTCTTGGTGAAGCGCTTGATGCAGAAGATGAGGTAGGGGGGCAGCCTGGTGAGCTGGAAGCGCTTCAGGAAGTTCTCCTTGTAGGTCTTGTACTCCTGGGGACGAAGGGAGAGGTGCGTGCGGTGGCCTGGTGGCCGCCCGTGCCTCGGGAGCGGTGGCAGCGCCCGCGCCGCCCTCACCTTCTCGGTGACGCCGTTGAACTTGGCGAGGATGCTGAAGAGCGGCACCTGCGGGATGATGAGCTGCTCCTTCTCGTCCTTGTAGAGCGGCGCCGTGGGCAGGTCCAGCGTCAGGTACATGAACGTGGACTCCACCATGGTCTCCTGGTACTCGGCGTTGAGCAGCAGCTGCGCCTTCTCCTCGGCCGGCTGCGGGCGGCAGGCTCAGGCCCCGCGTCCCCGGCGCGTCCCGCCACGTCCCCCGTGTCCCCCCGCGCGCTCACCAGGTCCGGGTGCGGCAGCTTCTTGGTGAAGATGCGCATGGAGCCCTGGAAGACGTCGGTGACGATGGCTGGGGACACGGGAGAGAGGCGGCGGGACAGGCTGGGCACGGGGCGCGCAGAGCCCGCAGGGCCTGGCAGCCCTCTGCTGCCCCCCGCGACGGGGCAGGGCAGGGGACAAGTGTCCCCCGGGGACACGGGGGCCGCCTCCTTCCCTCAGCACCCCCAACTCACTCTTCTTCTTCTTCTTGGTGCTGCCCAGCGCCGAGTGCAGCGCGTTCAGGAACCAGGAGAGAAAGTCGACCCCGTCGCCTGCAAGGAGAGGCGACCCCGGACGCCGTCACGTCCACCCGCGGGCCACGCGCCGCCCGCGCCGCCCCGGCCCCGCACCCTGCTTGGTGATCTGGAAGTTCTTCTTGCTGCAGAGCACCACGGCCTGCAGCATCTCGTGGGGCGACACGTGCGCCTTGAAGTTGCGCGGGTTCCAGAGCTTGCGCATGAGCTCCCCGAAGCGCTGCACCAGCAGGAACATGATGTCCCCCGGCGGCCGCTTGATGCCCCTGTAGTTGTCCTCCTCCAGGAAGTAATTCCTCAGCGGCGGCACGTTGGAGAGGGCCTGGGCGCCCGCGGGCGGCCGTTAGGGAGGCGGCTCTGCCTSCACGTGCCGTCCGAGGGACCCGCCGCGCCGCCCCGGGCCCGACCTGCAGCACGGCGTTGGCGTAGTCGTTGGCCTTGATGTTGTTGAGCCCCACGATGCCCGGCAGGTACGTGGTGCCATCGTACGCCCGCGACAGCTTGGCCTGCTTGTCCAGGTTGGCGATCTGCTGCTTGGTGAAGGTGGGTTTCAGCACGTACTGAGGGAGCAGAGGTGGAAATGGTATCAAAACTGAAGTCAAAAAAAGGCCCAAGCTTTCCAGGGACGGAGATCCCCCCGCAGACACGTTTCCACACATCCCAGCAGAACTACTGCAGGGGGAAGACTTGGGAAACCTTCATCTTCTCTGGGACACCCTGCTGCTTTTTATGCGAGCATGAACCCAGCACAAACTCCGGGGCACCCCACAAAACCCCGCGGCCTCCAACATCCCCCCCAGGCTCGGGGACGGCCCCCGGTGCGGYGGGCGGCAGCGTCCCCGCGCACCGTGATGTCCTCGAGCGACGAGTCGATGATCTCGTAGTTGTCGGGCAGGCAGTAGAACTTGAGCGTGTGCAGGTTGAGGAAGACGTGGTGGCTGCACTGCACGCTGTGGATGTAGGCGTGCGACCTGAGCCCGCGGCCTGCGCGGCGGGAGCGGGGGCGTCAGGCGGGCGGCGCCGGCACCGGCAGCGCGCGCGCCCCGCGCCGCGCTCACCCTGGAAGTACTTTCCGCACACGAGGCAGGCGTAGACGTTGATGTGCGACAGCGAGATGGAGCAGAGCTTCTCGAAGTCGAAGTCCAGCACGCTCCTGCGTGACGGGGACGGTGTGAGGGTGGGCGGGCGGCCCGCGCGGGGCGCCGCGGACCCCCGGCCCCGCTCACTTGTTGATGGTGTCCARGTAGGGGCAGTGGCGGCTCCGCTGGTCCTCGGGGTCGAAGCGGCCGTAACGCACTGCGGGGGGCGCGGGGGGTGACACCGGGGCGCGACCGGCGCCACCGGGGCCTCCCCGAAACGCCCCCGGGGCCCACAGGGTCACCCGCACCCAGGGCAATGCCCCCACAACCGGGACGCCCGC